GTGATTTTATGATATTTCAAAATTTATGTAATGGTATCTTGGTATGGTACTATGGGTCGAAGCATCAAACTATGCACTTGTATATCTAGCCAGAGTCATATGGTGATCTTATGATATTTCAGAAGTTATGTAATGGTATCTTGGTATGGGTCAAAGCATCAAACTATTACCTCTATGCACTTAAATTATTAAGTCAGAGTCATATGGTTATTTTATGATATTACAGAATTTATGCAATGGTATCTTGCTATGGTACTATGGGTCGAAGCATCAAACTACTACCACTTGTATATGTAGCCAGAGTTATTCGGTTAAATGAACTTATGATATTTTAGAATTTATGTGATGGTATCTTAGTATGGGTCGAAGCGTCAAACTACACCTTTTGCTGTTCATTAACCGCAAAGGAATATTATCAGTATGTATATGTAACCAGAGTATATAACCATATGGTCAGGTGAACTTATGATATATAAGAATTTATATGATGGTATCTTGTCATGAACTTCAATAGCCAGATGTCATTTAGGGATTCAAACTTTATCCTATAGTATGTGCTACAGCTGTAGCTTGCAGTRGTAGCAAAAGTTGGGGATTAAATTTTCTCATATTTTCAAGTACACATTTATGTGATAGTATTTTGTTGAGCCAATATTGTGAATGTCAATGATTAGATGCCATTTATGTTTCATTGTGTATCCTGCCAGAATTAACATAATGATAGCAAAAGTTGTACATGTGGTTGTAGTAGCATGTAAAATGTACCAAGGTAGTCATACTTTGATCTTCTAGAAGCTGATCTTATACTTTGTTTGATACTTGACTTTGTCCTAGTATAGTAGTCTGAACAGTAGTTGAAAGGCAGTTGAAACAGCTGTAGTCATTTGTATACACCTCATTCATTAAACACTMGGCGATAAGCAATAGGAGATCAAAAAGTGATAGGTGATAAGTCATTCCAAGATCCAAGAATAGCTGGAATGACTTGTGTTTCTGCTTTTTATTCTCTTTATGAACATGGACCTTAGTGTTGAGACTGATTCGATCTTTGTTTTCAACAAAACCATTTCCATGTCAGAATGACCTATTAACTATTGCCTTTAGTGATGACAACGTTTTTGAATTAAGTGCATATACTACTGCAGTTTTCAATATTTTGCAAACTCTGTATTTGTGAGCTACATGTTGAAATCCATTTTTTCACTTCTGTCAAGCAAAAATAATCAGTTTGTACCTGTAGTACAGTGAAAGACCAAGTAATGTACAACTCTGATACTTAGTTTGAGTAATATTGAAAATAGCAGAAACTACTTTTTACTGCTATAAACTATGTTTTTACTATAAACTTGTGTTGTGCACCAAAAGTGACACACACTGTCCAGTTTCAAACTATCTCTTTCTGCTTTAAGAGTAAGGACAGTCTAATGATTACCTATAGTCATGTTTTACTATAAACCTGTGTTACACACAGTCAAACTATGGCTTTATCTATAACTGAATAGTATAAGACATCGTGCTTGGTCCTTTGGATAAAGTTCAATGACTGAGTATGTTTGCTACAGCCATATGTCTTAGACACACTGTGACACACTGTCTGTGGTATAAAGGCTTGGCTTTATAATCATTATCATTAATAATTTTTACCAAGAGTGGACAACTTTTGGCTTCTCCTTGATAGTTTATTAGAAAAGGTTAAGGCCTGATTATGAGTATATGTTTACCAGTATAGATTTCTACTTGACTGAGGTTTAACTTTTGTTCCACAAATCTGATTAATACTTTGAATCCCTRTTACCAGGAAAACATCAAAGTTTCTAGTATTAATGTTGTTTGGCTAATCTTTGTGGTCAACTCAAGCTTATTATAACACTGTTTTTTTCTTATGATGATTATTCAGCCTTACTATGCAAATGTGTTCATGTCTGTGATAATCAACTTTGGCAAATATGAGTCCTTATTAATATACAGTATTTTGAATTTTGTCTAGACTGTTTGTTTAATTCTCTCAGGACAGGAGCCAAGATATGAATTTTAAAATTAAGGTCAAGATAAATTTTAATTTTCTACCATTTATARTTTCTTTGATTTTCCAGCTGCAAGTTAAGACCTTTGTCAGCCTTTGTTTTCTTTATCGTTTTTCTTGTTTTCTTAGTGCCTCATTTCATCAATAGCTTGAAACAAAGAAAAAAGATATTAAAGAGAAAAATTATTAATATGAGTAAGAAATGAAAGGGCATTGTACATTATTTTTTGATGTAGAATTTGAATTCTGCTGACAGAAATCTTTAAAAAAAGATTTTATGGCTGAAGTAGTACTTGGAAGAGTATTGTTTGAAGGGTTACAATCTTTAAGTATTGAATGACATTCTTGTGTTAAAATTGTAGTTTTGACAGAGCAATAGTTATTCATTTCTTTGAAACTMTACATGATGCATCTTAAGCATGGTTATAGACTTAAATGTAAAACAGCTGACAGAATGCTCATTGCCTTAATCTTGACCCACTTTTTTATGTAATTATTTCCATGTTGAGGTAATCATGAATCAAAAGCTCAGCAGAATTTTCATACCTCTTGAACAAGAAACATTTATTCTTCAAGCTAAATTTGTCCATTGTGTTAAAATGTAAAATTCTGTAGTTTACCCAAAACATCTCATAGTATTGATTTGAATCAATATCAGCTTTTAAGTACTCAGACCATTTTGAGGGCTCGAAATTCAGGTCAAATTTTACTACTAACAATTTTGAATTGTCAATTGAAAATGAGATGACAGGGAAAATTTTTCTCCACAAAAATTATTTGTCCTGCCAAAAATCAAAAGCTGTCTGCCTATTTTTATTTTCTACTTCGAGTCCTGCATTTATTTATTATCATTCAGTTAGTAGAAGAAGTTTCAAAATAATAACATATGCTACAGGTTTTGATATTTTATTGTGTTTCCATGAAATTTCCGATTTTATTTCAGTTGATTGGGATAGAACAGCTGTCTTTCTGTTTGTTATTTCTCAAGTCTATATATTTAAAAAATAAGTTCTATTTTCTTTCTTAATCCTTAAGTTAAATAATCCTGTTTTAATGACAAAAGATCTCTGGATTAGACGGACTGGTGTAATGTGGAGATGCTGTATTATCTGTCAATAAACTAGAKGGGGGCAAAGCAATGTTTTGGACCCTTTATAAATCTTGTCATATTTATGTGACCCAAATATTTTGCTATAATTTGAGAGGACTGAGTCTTCCAAATCTCAAGTCTATCAAATTTTTGATAGTATACACCAAATCGAAATATGACAGCTAATTTGAATAACTATTGTTCTGGACTGACTAGCCTCATGTTCATGTGGATAATAGTGTTTTAACATGTATGAAAAGTTAGTCAGCCAAGAACAATAGTACTGTTATTCAAATCAGTACCCATGTTTCGATTTGGTTTATAAGTTGGTATTTTTTGATTCATAGAAGGTGAATACCAAATATCTTGTGCTTGAAGCTCATGAAAATGGATGGGTATAAAAGAATGGAATCCCATTTCATGACAGTTTGTTATTTTCCTTTTCTTTCTTTTCTCTTTTTCTTTCTTTATGTTACTTCTTTCTTTCTTGTTTCTTTCTACCGCTTATAACGCCAGTAGCTATTTATATGTCATTGCTATTTAATGTGGATATATTTGCCGCAGTTTTGGTACTTAAGAATTTCCCTAATGGTAGAGGAAGTATCTCAGACTATTGAGCACTTGAAAAAAGTACTGTTCAATAAATTATTATTTACCAGAGGTCTGTCTGAGTGACTGAAAAATGCTCACTCGATATTTGTTTTTTGTGATATCCCATTTAACTTGAGGAAGTTAAAGTCTTAAGTTTTATTTGAGTTTTTCTGGATAATTTACAATACGATAAATTTCTCTTATTGTCAACTTAGTCAACTAAGAGCCAGGGAGAACTGATGTTCCAAGYAGCTGCGCAATCTTTAGCCACAGGTCTCTGTAGTAAATTTGGTGGCATAAAGAACTTGGAGATTGTAAGATGATTTATTCTATATAATTAGGCTGATCAGTCTAGATAAAGATATAGCAATGAGATTATTTCTTAAGTGGCCAATATGCTTTAAACATGTGAGCATAAAAAGCTTAATCTTTTTTTGAAAAGCAGATTAATTTGGAGTTTTGGACGTTTATTTTATCCGTATCTTCAGAGAAGAAAAACCACGTGTGGAAGCCAACTATCAAATGACATGTTATATTGGGTCCTTCCTTTGGCGATGGTAAAATGGGAAGAACTCAAAGTTAAAAAGACTAGTGTGAAAATGTTCTGTAGGSCTGACTGCAGGGTGTGAAGTTTTATTACAAACGCATGTGTTTAATAATAGGATGGAATGTTGCTACTCTGACCCCCATCCTCACATTAGGCTCAAAGTTGTCCTTAGATATCTTGGGAAATGCAATAGAAATCTCACTTTTTTCAGGGGTTTTTTTTTTTCCATATCTGCTTCATTTTCAAGATGATTTTGGCATTATAATAACTTTACTACGGAGGAGCCACATTGGAATTGCTTATTATTATATATCATTAATTATCATTTTCAAAATGTATAATTTTGGGCATTATAAATACCTTTACTATGAATGAGCAGTTTCACATTGGAATTGCTTATTGATAGAAAACAAAGAGAGAAAAAGAAAAATAAGTGCTCTTTATTTCAAATGTGGATTGTTTTCTCCAGTTGTCTTGTTACCAAGGGAGAGCACACCACAGGCAATAGAAGTTAATTGGCAGTTTTCAAACTATTTTTCTTCTTTCCTTCATAGTTCGTTAATAGCAACTAATTGAACCAGGTGCATCTTTAATGTTTTTTGTTTTGCTTTATCTATTTTTTGCCTTTTTTTTTTTTTTTGGCAACTCAGAATTTTCCACCACAATTTTAAAATAATTTTATAGATGGACCACACACTAAACAATTTCTCATTTTCTAAATTTGTTTTGTTGAATTCTATTGAAAACCAGAAACAAAAATAATAATGGTATTATTTTTTCTTTTCATATTAAAAAATAATTATATAATTATGATGAAAATTCATTTAACCATGATATTATTAATCTTATTAATTTTTCTATAAAATGATTCTTTCTGAAAAACCTCCAAACCTCTGGGCTGATCAAGGAAATTGAAATTAATCAATTTATACCAATATTTGTGGTGCGTTGGCGTGAAAAATTAAGTAAAAAATTTTGTGAGGCATTATAACTACTAAGTATCATAATGCAGAAGGCCAATTCCTCTGTCTAAACTATTTTTACAAATACTTGCCTAAGGCTTATTGGGAATATTTGCCTCACCCAGAGTTAGTTCAATAATAACTTTGGTATAAACAAACTAGAGGATGATTACAAATCCTGTGTTCTGATTGGCTGGATAAAATGGTTTTTAGCCCAGAGTAGAGRAACTTAAATAGGCCACTTTAGGAACCAGCAAGAGACTGGGGCAAGGTTTGAATCTTAATCTCATTACGAAAAACCTTTTGTCATTTGAGAAAGCATCTCAAGATTAGTAAGACTTGCAAATTTGAACAGGATTAGATGAAAAGAACTAGATTTATTGGCTTTCAAATGCGTCAAAAATTTACAAAGAATGTAGGGTTACAGGGGAAATTTGCAATGGATCTTTTGTTAAATTTAACCAAAATGGCAGCTATGAAATCCAGCTATTCATTCATATTATAGTGAGATTTCTTAAAGAAAGTCGTTGAATTGCATAGCACATGAATCAAGGTCTAAATTCCATCATGGAATAAAAGCAAAAGGTTTGTTAGCCACTAACCATCAAGTGCCAACCAAGATGGCAGCTATGAGGTCCAGGTATTCATTAATATTATAGTGAGATTCCTTAAAGAAAGTCGTTGAATTGCATTACACATGAATCAAGATCTAAATTCCATCATGAAATGAAAGCCAAAGGTTTKTTAGCCACTAACTACGTATCAAGTGCTATCTCTGTAAAGGACTGAACTTTGCTCCGATATTTGAAGCCCTGTTATGAAACAGTGACATGAGAGCTACGAACTAGCGATGAATGACAGTGAGGTCCTATGAGGGGTAAAATTCAGACAGCAACACACGGTCATTTTGAAATTGAGTTATAGGYAGTTATGAAATTCAGACAGAGTAACATGGGTATCCCCCTAATGTAGAGCCTTTCATTCTTAATTCTGATTGAAAGAGGATGTAACCTTCATTAGCTCTTAGCAATGTAGGGTATTTTATGTGGTAAAACCTAAAAAATCCCCCCTTGACCCCCTTAAAAATAAAAAATTCTAATTGATCTTTCTAACATGTCAGCCATGTTAATCCACCCCCATACAAGAATATTGGGAAACCCCTCTCTCTAAAACAAAAATCTATTCTTCTATTCTTCCATCCTTCCAATGCCGAAATTCAGCCGTGCGCAAAAATGTTAATAATGTCATTGGTCTTTAAAAGACCAACAAAAACAACAAAAACAACAACAACAACAACAACAACAAAAAACACACACACACAAAGAAAAAAAAACAACAAACAAACGACAAAAAAACGAGGACCCATCCAATCGTATTTTCTGGACGACTCTAACATTGATGCTTCTTTTTATTTTCTTCAGAGAAAAAAGTGAAGAAGAGGTAGTGGTCATATCATCTGATGACGATTCTGATAAAGATGCAGCCAAAACAAAACCAGAAGACACAATAAAGGAGGAAGATGAGGATACTTTAACAGGGAAACCCATGACAACCGGTGTACGGTCCATGGAAACAGATATAAATGACGATAAGAATGATAATACAACTAGAGTAGATGGAGATTCAAAGTCAAAACTACAACTTTCTGATAAAAACGAGGATCTAAAAACTGAATCCCAAACATTGGATGAAAAGCTTTCAGAGAAAAGCCCTGCTTCTGATTCTTCTGGTGAATGTATCTCGCAGGAAGATTTACTTGCACATTTAGGTTTAGGTTCCGTACGAGCACTTGCAAACCCGAAGCCCAATAAGGAAGAGAAGATTTCAAATGGAGTGTTGTCAGAGCGTAAGCCTCTGATTCCTCATAAACCCAAAGAAAGTATTGTAGATCTCCTACGGGCGCCCAAATTAAAGAGCCACGAGGAAAAGCCGAAAGTTAACGGAGAAGCACCAATCACAGTTGTTAATGGTGTTAGTGATGATGATGATTCTACACCAGGAACACCCAGTGAGGCAGATGATGATGATGAACTCCTGGCAAAAGAGCAGCTTATTGAGGAACTGCGACAAGAGCTTAGAAATGAAGAAGCCAAGCTGCTTCTACTGAAGAAGATTCAAGCAGCTCAGAATGATCCAAAGAGTACGACCAAGTTTGTGAAAGAGAAGGAAAACGAGAAGCTCCTTACTTCAGGTGTGCAGTACTCATCTGGAGGTAAATCTGGTAGTAACCAGTTGTCTATGAAGAAGAGTCAGTCACTGCCTCCTCCACCGCCTCTCAAAACTCATATATCTACAACAGGGACCTACCAACCTCCAGTTGCAATCCAACCCAAACTTCTTCCCAAAATGGGCAATGTTCAGTCTCTTCACGGCTCTTCTTTATCTTCTTCCAAGTCAGTAAACCATATGCAGCCGAGTTCCAAATCCCCTTCTCGTTCAGGCTCTTCTGCTATTAAAGATCTTCAGAATGTAATCAGTTCAATGAGTACGAGCCTGATTCATCCTACTCCTATGTATCCACGAGCTAGCTCTCAAGCCAGTGTTTATACRACACACGCGCAGGCGGCGCCAGTACGTCCGACCCCAGTGCGTGCAAACAATGTACCTGGAGCGACTGCAAGTAGTGGTTATTTATCGTTTCCTGCACATATTTCTACTAAGGCTTCTAGTTCTAGTCCTGCAGTGTCTACTGCCGGCAAACAGGCTGCGGCAAAAATGGCCCTGCGCAAGCAGCTTGAGAAAACCCTTCTTCAAATTCCTCCTCCAAAGCCTCCACCTGCGGAATGGTCTTTCATCCCCAGTCTGAACAGCAACGAGTTTATGACTTTGGTTGGTTTTGAGAAAGTTGTCGATGCGATTTCTCTAAAGGAAATCCCGAAGGCTAAATCATCTCCACCACTGACTGAGAAGCCACAGCAGGAGAACCCCAAAGTCTGTGGCCAGTGTGATACAGACTTTACTCCTTGCTGGAAAACCAAGAACAAAGATGGTGCAGAGGTACTGATGTGTGAGAAGTGTAGCACCGTTAACGTCAAGAAGGAACTCAAGACAGAACATACAGCGAGACTCAAGGCCGCTTTCCTAAAGGCCTTGAAACAAGAGCAAGAAATTGAACAAAAGATGGGTGAAACCACTCCCATTGCTCCTAAGCCTCAGTCTTCCAARTCTTCAAGTCACTCTTCATCAAGCAGTAGTAGCTCTCGACACCATCATATCTCTCACCACCAAGGGGTTCTCCACCATCGTCACCAACACGTCCAACCCGGAATCTACCACCACCACCAACAACACCCTGACTCTCTACTCTACCAGCTGCAACAGCAACACATACAACAGCAACAACAAGAAATGGAGGTGGCTCGCCGACACGGAGATGTACGGTGGCATCCTTACACCCTAACGCAGCATCATCACTCCTCTCACAAACCCCAACACCATCACAGTATTGTCTCCGATTCAGACAGGCAGTACCTGTTGGACATGATTCCTTCGCTACCCGCACAATATAGCTCAAGCAGAATTTAGCAATCTCTAGTTGTGAACAAAACAAGTATAAAGTATTAGAAACGTAGTTTATTCGTCTTGATTCGAGATGTAGATATCCTATCCTGAGTTGTCTAGCTCATGTGTGGAGTATATAGTTTACAAAAATGAAGAATTTAAAAAAAGAGAGAAGTTTTGAAATATTCGACGTGGGACCTCGCATTTTGGAGTACCAATATTTTGATGGCTCACTAAACTTGTTCTGCAAAGATGGAGTAGATCTTCTGTCAGGTTTCTATTCAATTGTACAGTACATTTGATGGCTGATCTTGAAGATCAGATCAAATTTTGACGCAAAGCCTTCCTTCTTCTCATCAACCTTTGCATTGATTGCTCGGTCTTGTACTTGTCAAAAAAATGACAAATAATATTACTCTTTGGTAGTGAGAGAAAAACCACAGTCTATTATCCTATTCGCAGTGTCGTGTCTTAAATCGATCAACTAAAAAATCAACAGGTACATAGTTGAAATATTTAGCTATCAACTCGTGAGAAATTTTAAAGCACTTGAAAAGTTTTCGTAATGACATACAGCTATTTCAAAACAGCCTGTCGAACTAAGGCTATGTCACATGTTGTATAACAAGCTTCAAATGTATTTATTATTCGGGTGTAAATAATGTCAGCACAGAAGAAAATATGCCGGGAAAACGTGCAGAAAACGTTTGGAAAAATTCCATATTGCTATGACCGTTTGCTGATTGCATTCACATCACCCATAGTGCATCTCGGGCTTGGTATACAACCTACAACAAAATCTTCACCAACCTTATTTGAAATAGMTGTATAACCTCTAGACGCCAGGACTGGGTCAGTTCTCCCGAACCAGATTAGTGCCAATTTGGATTAATTATTGCGCGAATTGTTGATTAGCTTACCCGGATTCGCACTAATCAGGCTTTAAACAACCTTTAGACCCTAGGGTTTTGGTACAGATGGTTGGTACGATGCCACTCGAGCATGGGGTTGAAAGTTTAGTCTCTTTTTGGGTGGGGATAAAGGATGCACAGTCGAACGGATCCGCGCGGTGAAGCGGACGTTGACGGCAAATTATTCCTTTGTCTAGTAGACGGAAGCCAAAACACAACATGCCTTGTTTGGGGCTGTCTGGAATTACGGAAACYAGAAAAGTGCTACAAACAGATTTCTTATGAGCGGATCATAATATAGATGGTTTTGTAGCTCTGTGATTGGYCTAGGCGGGAGACTATTGAAAAGATACCACTCATGAAATCATGTTTCCTGTTTATCCTATTCTTCGATTTGAAAAGGTCTACCCACGGTCCCTACTGAGTTCATGAAAAGATTCCCTACCGCTTGAAAAGCGATTCTTACGAAAAACTAAATTCATGAATCGGTTTTCAAATATTTTATGAACGTCCTGAGATTCAAGTGAAAGAGCTCCAGTACCGTTGGAAGACCCATAGAGGTTTTGCACCATAACGCGATGGCAGTTACGAGAGGAGGCATTGCAACAGTCTTTCCCCTGGAAAACTAAATTCTTTCTAAGGAGGCACAACAATAGTCTTTTCCCACTGGGAGACTGAATTTTTTGTCGTAAATCAGATAAGACCAGATTCCATTGTTCCTGACTCATGTTATGGAAGCCATCACGTGATGGTGCAAAGCCTCTATTAAACTTTTCAAAGACCTGGAAAAATAAAGTCCACCTCTTGCCTTCCGTATAAGGCTATTATCAGTATTTCTTCTATCGTGTTTGTTCTATAGTTTCGGTACATTTAGGTACTTTTTTTGTGAAGGACGACGTCGGAATGCAACACSCCCAAAACAGGTTTCGCTCTAGCTTGGGGCAACACCAAAATCCTCTTTTTCTTTGATCCATTATTTATTACTTAAAAAGAGATTTAAAATCATAATATTGTATTTGAACAAGTGTTCAGCAAGAAATAAAATGAATTAAAGTTCTCTTGTCTCGAAATAAACTGCGTTTTTTAAATTATGGAGACGGCGTTGACAGACTAATGCGATTGAGAAGGCCGGTCTGGCTTAAAACGCAGGTAGCCCAAGATTGAGCTGCTTATATTACTTATCTGAGATATCAAAAAGGATATAATCCGGAGGGGGGTACTCCGCCAGAATTTGGGTAGGGGTGTTCCGCTGGGATTCTGAAAGGGGTACCCTGTTTATGACAAAAAAAACTCAAATTTGAAGACCTTGTTTATGACAAAAGAAATAATTCATTGCACAGAGTTCCTGTTTCAATTATCATGTCATCTCGCGTATCGTTTTTTTACGACCATAATAACCAGTTTCGGTCAATTCAAAAGTAGAAACCCTGAATATGACAAGAAACTCAGGAAGAACTTGGAACTTGAGTGAAAT